TATTATACTTTTCTAGACTAGATTGCCTGGTCACCATCTGCTTAGACCTCTGTCCAAAAAGGAAAAAAAAAAGCAGAGGCTAATATTATCTATTTGGCAAACACAAAGTAGTTTGTAGGCACATTTGATCATCCTGTAAAAACAAAATAAATCCAGCTATTATAAACAAAACTTAATCTAAAAGCATCCTTATTAATTTTATCCTGTTTGTGCTCAAGAAAATTGGGGGAAAATAGTAACAGTAATAAAAATGAGGAAAGAAGAATTTCCATCTGCAAAATCTTCCCTGTCTACATACTTCTTAAAGCTATGTGCCCAAGGCACCATTCTAGACCCAGGAAGCTTTAATAGAGCTCATTCTAGGGGTTGTATCTTGATGGGCGCAGGAGGTAGCACAGTAGACTCAACAACTTAACTAGCATAGTTTTCATCTTCAAAATTGGTTGTGTTGTATTTCTGTAAAGTTTTAAGCAAGTATGTTTTTAACTTGCTACCTTTGGATTTAAAATTCACAATTGGTTAGAATCACAGGGCTTTATTTCCTTTCTAATTTATCTATGAAATTACTCATCACGTGCTTAATGTTTTCCAAGAAAAACACAGATATGGTACATTTTCAATTATTATTAACTTAAACTTTATAACATCTCACCAATGCTCCCTTTCTTTGTGCATTTTTTTTTGCTATGTTTTTGTTTTCTATGCATTGTGGTTTGAGGGCAAGTGAGGGTTTGGTTCCTAGCTAATGCATTATGCGAGGTTACAGATATTTTAGGTGGTGACCACTTTGAGAATGAGGGCCACTGGAAGGTGGCTTATCATTGTTATATCCTACTGGGCCCTCTTTTTCTGCTTTCCACCCACACTAAGGCAAGCAGCTGGCTACTCATTCTACCACCATAGAATCAACAAAGTTATGGACTCAAACCTCTGAAACTGTGAACCAAAATATATCCTTCCTCCTTTACATTGTTCAATTTGGGTCAAAGTAGTAGAAAAGTAATTAAACATTAGGAATAACAGTTTTTATTTATCCATAAAATATACAAATTTTTAAAGGGAAAAAGAATTTATACAAAAGGTTTAAATTGATGAAATATGCTCAATACCTTTTCTATATATTTTCCCAGAGCCACATGTCTAACAGCACATACCCCATTAACTTACGTTAGCCGACAGAATTCAGATGTTCCCTATAACAACAGTGATATGAACTATCTTCATTCTTACATTGAAATTAAGTGTCAGGAGACTGCCACAGGCTCTGAGGAGGAAGCATGCATGGTCCTGGACTGAGCAAAGAGACTCACATGCAGTCCTGGGGTGCTATGCCCTGGGCTTCAGTGAGAAAACACTGACTCTATTAGGGTGAGGAAATTTACAGGGTGTATGGGAGGGAGAGAGAGACAAACAGACAGAATGGTTCATTTCCTGTAGACAGAGGCATATCTGAAGAGGTCAAAGTGGTGAGGAGCAGACTGGAGTGAGTGGCTTCATTGCCACCCAGGGCCATGGTGATGTCTGGCCTAGGCTGATGTTGGGGTCCATGTCTGGGTTCATGGGTCTAATGCAGCCATGATCTATGTTGATACCCCTGGCTCCTTATACCACCAAAGGCTGAGAGGATAGACAGGGTTGTACAGAGTTGACCACACCTGCTCACTGGCTGCAACACTATGAAGGACTGATCCTGCCCCTCACCAACTGAAACACACAGGAAAGAGAATTCCTACATGTCACTTGGGCAGCACAATAGAGCTGACCCTGTCCAAATGGACATTGATGAACTGGCCCTGAGAGGTGAGAGGATTGGGGAGCAGGTTGTGCCCTTCTCATTTCTCATATAGTGGTGTGGGTGAGGAACAGCCCTCCTGCCCTTGCTACTTGCCACCTGCAGCAGGTGGGGGACCTGACTCAACTGCTCACCAGCTGCAGCACTTGAGAGAACAGTAACCCTTGCCTGAAAAGCACAGTAGAGTTGACCCTGTAGACAGGGACATGGGTCAGGTCCAGTCCTAAAGAACTGAGAGGGCAATAATCAGTACCGACCCCCTTTGCTTGATTTGGGGATGAGGGTGAGGGAACCATCTCCAGTTGGCAAGGAAGGTAACCCTCCACTTTACCAGCTTCAACACTCAAGAAAGTTGTCCCTACATCTGTCTGGGCAGCACAGAGGAGCAGACCCTGTTGACAGGGGCACAGGTGAGTCACCCCAAAACATGAGCATCAGAGACCTTGCCCTGTCCCTCATCTGCCATATGGCAGCTTGGGCCATGGGCACGGAAGAGATGAGATGGCCTGCCCCCACTCCTTCCCTCTACAACTGACACAGGTGAGAGAACTGGCCCTGTGGTCCTGAGAGCAAAACACCTGTCCCTGCCCGACATCAGCTGCTGCACTCTGGAGTGGCCCCTGAACTTCAGTAGAGTTGGCCCTGAAGGTGTTGGTGTGGGAGAGCTGAAACTAAGGACTGAGAGCAGGAGAATAAGCCCCAACCCCTTACTCATTCCTGCAAGGGGTGAACTAGACAGGGAAATGCTGGTGTGTTCACCCTGGTGGTGAGAATGGCAGAGAGTAGGTGGGCTGACCAATCCTGCAACCACCCAGGCCCAGAACCAGGGTTATGAGTTAGCACACCCCAACATCTACCCCATCTGTAATCTGCTGGAACACATGAAGGGACATGACCCACAGACCCAAACCTGTATGATCTCCATAACACAAGGCAACAGGAAAACCAAGAGTAGTGAGGGCCCAGCATCAATACTGTAGCAGAAACCAGAGGCCTCAAACAAGGCCAATAACCGTCATGAACATTTGCAATTAAAGATATATGGACCAAAGGGGTTTACTGGGTGACTCACTGTGTCACACTACAGCATCACAAGATTTTTTTTCCTTTTTTTCTTCTCTTCAATTTTATTTGGTGGGGGGGGGGGACTGATTTGGCAAGTGCATAAAACAGATACAAAGGGATGGGAAATGAATGGTATCTGGATGCATGATGTGAAAGATGGTAAGGATAAATAAAAAGAAAGTTCCAGGATTGCAGTTTTTAGGAATGAAGGTCATTCTGATTCTAATTTAGAAAATATTTACTGTTCCATTTTTTTATCATCTTGTCTTCAATATTTACTGATATGACTACTTTCAACATTTATTCTTTGAAATTGAATTTTCAGGGGGGGCAGAAGGGGAGTGGGGAAAAATATTAAAATAAGGATTTAAAAAAGAAATTAAATTTTCATTCAGTCTCTTTTAACTTTAAAATGAACACTTTATTTAGATAATATAAGCATGTCACTGTGAAAAATTTCTCTTTACTGGGTACTGTATAAAATGCAATAAAACATAAATCACTTTTAAGAAGACATTTACAGTTTCCTCCCAGCTAGACACAGTAAGGGAAAAAATAAGAACAAAAACAAAAATATAAAGAGAAATTTGAAAAATAAATGCAATAAATCGTTATCTCTATATACAGTTTACATACAAGTTGTTTTTTTTTTGTCAAAACAATCAGACTTGTTTAAATTCCACAAATTCTTCTTGACGTGCTTCAGTAAAAACTGGACATCAAGGTAAAAATCCATTTCTCCTCTCAGAGCTGCCATATATTGGTTTTAACATGTCTTAAACACATCACCTAACATATTTCTAAATTTCTTGAAATAACAATAATAAAGGATTGCTATACAAGAAAGGGGGCTCTAAAGGTAAGGAGGAAGATGAGGGCGCTAGAATGGGAAATAGCAAACAATTGATATACTTTCTCATCTAAAATTTAAGACTAGGAATTTTATATATGACATCATATGATATTACAGACTAGCTGGAGGAAAAGTATGAGCCAGCTTAAGTGTAACAGAGGAGAAAATGTGAGTAGAGCACAATGATACACAAGTATGAAAGTGTCATAATGAAATCTATTATTTTGTATATTACTATTAATTTTTAAGTTTAAGAATAGAATATTCATTAATCTGGTTCTTAAATTTGGTTGTGAGCCAACAAAATTAGGCACTTTTTATATGAATTTGCTCACATATACCTACATATGCTGTTCTTGGCAAGGTTTGCTTTAAATACTTCACAATGAAAATGTTAGTATTTTCCTATTACCAGTTCAGGGCCAGTGCATTTCAGGGTCAACACTACTATTAAAATTCTGTCCAAAGTTTTAACTTTTTAAACTTTCCTATTTTCAGTTTCACTTTTTCACTGGTACTCTAATGTAGGATTGTTATCCAAATGTTGAATGCAGTTCTCTTTAACTGAAGAACTTTAGATCTGACAAAAACAATGACAGGTGTTCAGATCTTCAAAAGCAAATGGGAACAAAGCATACAGTTTTTATCAGTTTATGACGACAAAGAACCTTTCCAGCAAACAATCTATAGACACTGACAGAACAGCACTTCTTGGCCACATTTCAACTTTTCCCAAAAATTTAAGGTATGGCATTATTACAGTACTATTGACAGAGACTCCAAGAATGTCCCCAAATCACCTAATAATAAGCTCAAAAATATTTTAAGTAATCAAATATCAAGCTCATGAAAACATCCCGGTTCAATTTTTTAAAAAAAGCAAAGCAGTTTTCCTCATTCCCATAAGTAAATTCTCAGCTAACAGAAACAAATATGGAACTGTTTCCTAAAATTGAAGTTAGCCATTAACTCGAAATAAACTGGGGGGCAGGATGCAGCATGTTAGGCAAACAAGCATTCTGCTTCTGAGCTTCATACCCATTTCTAATTCTGATTTAAGACTGAACCAAAGGTGATGTTTGGAATGCCTTCATTTCTCCACAGTGCTGGGGCAGCACTGGGCCTACAAGGCACTGCAGGGGGGGGGGGGGGGATGATCCTCGTATTCCTGAAACACTTTGTTCAGCTGTGGTGCTTGTAGGGCCTGGAATCCAAACACACTCCATTTTTTTCCACCTCACAGGAGGGCATCGGGGCCTCCTCACACTCGGAGCACGCTCTTGGCCAACTTCACGGGGTGCGGCTAATCTGGCGGATGATGTGGACCATGTTGGCCAGCTGCAAATTGGGGCGGTAGCTGCGGCTGGGAAAAATCCTCCTGCACTGCGGGCAGCTGAAGACCTGCGGGATGTGGGGCCGCGGCGGGGTGCGGGGCGGGGTGCGGGGCGGGGAGCGGGGCCGGGTATTCGGGTAGAGCTGCCGGCGCACCCGGGGGTGCGGGGGCCCGCGCCGGAAGATGTGGCGGTGGCGGTAGCGGCCGAAGTGGTGGTAGTGGTGGCCGTTGTGGAAAAGCGCCTCCCGCTCGTTGGGAAACACCCGGATCCGCAGGTCCTGGACCAGCGCCCCGTTCCAGGCCTCCACGGCATCCCAGCCCGGCTCCACGGGGCCCGAGGGGCTCGGAGGGTACCCGTGGCCGCCGGGGACCCAGGGCGGGGCGTGGGCCCGGCGCGGGGGCGTCGTCTCCTCCCGAGCCCAGCGGTACAAGACCTCCCGCACCATGTGCTCGCCCGCCACCCCGCGCTCCGGCTCCTCGTCAATGCCCCACAGCTGGGTCACGCACTCGCGGCAGAAGTTGTGCCCGCAGGCGATGGACACGGGGTCCTGGAAGTAATCCAGGCAGATGGAGCACACGGCCTCCTCCCGGAGAGACTGCATGGGGCTGGGAGGCCCGCGGGGGGCCGCCATGGCAGAGCACGCGGGACCTGCGGAAGCTGGGACACAGAGGGCCTCGCCGCCCTGTCAAGAAGCACAGCCACGGGACCGGAGACCTGGCCTTGCCGCCCAGGGGCGCACGGGAGCGGGAAGCACGAAGGCCTCGCTGCCCTCTGTGAGGGGCGGGAACACCGGGGCCTCGCTGCCCTGTGAGGGGCGGGAAGACCAGGGCCTCGCTGCCCTGTGAGGGGCGGGAAGCTCGAAGGCCTCGCTGCCCTGTGAGGGGCGGGAACACAGGGGCCTCGCTGCCCTGTGAGGAGCGGGAAGCTCGAAGGCCTCGCTGCCCTGTGAGGGGCGGGAAGTACGAGGGCCTCGCTGCCCTGTGAGGGGCGGGAACACCGGGGCCTCGCTGCCCTCTGTGAGGGGCGGGAACACCAGGCCTCGCTGCCCTGTGAGGAGCGGGAAGCTCGAAGGCCTCGCTACCCTGTGAGGGGCGGGAAGCTCGAAGGCCTCGCTGCCCTGTGAGGGGCGGGAAGACCAGGGCCTCGCTGCCCTGTGAGGGGCGGGAAGCTCGAAGGCCTCGCTGCCCTGTGAGGGGCGGGAAGCTCGAAGGCCTCGCTGCCCTGTGAGGAGCAGGAAGACCAGGGCCTCGCTGCCCTGTGAGGGGCGGGAAGCTCGAAGGCCTCGCTGCCCTGTGAGGGGCGGGAAGACCAGGGCCTCGCTGCCCTGTGAGGAGCGGGAAGTACGAGGGCCTCGCTGCCCTGTGAGGAGCGGGAAGCTCGAAGGCCTCGCTGCCCTGTGAGGGGCGCGACTCCCGTGGGCCTGGCTGCCGCCTACAACCCGCCGCTGCCGCCCTCGGCCCTGCCTTGCTCGGTCACAGAAGCCCGCACCCCCGGGTCTTCCCTCCGCACCCGACTCACGCAGCCCTTGCTCGCACCGGTGGGAACCAGGCAGCCAACTGACAGCGCTCGTCCTGGGTCTGCATCTGCGGGCAGCAAGACCAGCGACCAGCAGAGGGCGACGACCAGCGACTGGTGCCCGCCTCACAAGATACCGCCTTTTATAGGCGAGGCACCCGAAAATGACGTCGTACGCGCTAATTACCCACCACCACTACTACCACTAGGACACTCTGGGCCATTGGCGGACCTTCGTCTTGATGGTACTCAAGGGAGGGCCCTGGCAGGTGGGCTCCAACCCATCCCACCACGTAAGAGAAAAGACTGGTGAGAGCTGCAGTAGCATACGTAATCCCAGCAGGCCAGAGGTGAAAGATCAGACATTCAAGACCACCCACTGCCACATAGTGACTTCGAAGCTCATTTTGGCCCCAAGACTGAAATCTGAATAGACAATTTAAAGACAGACAGATGAAATAAAAAACAAACTGGTGGGCCCAGTCTCCTAAAAATGAAGATGATTCAGATTTTAAAAGCGGTTTTCTTTTTTTTTAATTGTTTTTTCTATACAATGAGCAGATCAGTTCTTTCACAGACAACTGCTGCTCCTCATTACTAAATACCATTTCCCATCAAAATTCATTTTAGCGCTCAGATTCTATTCCAAGAAGTGTCAAGATATAATTCTTTACTCCCTCTACTCTCTCGTCCAACATAAGAAGGTTGTTACAAAGTTGATGAACATAATCGAGTCATACTGGAAAGAATGTTCTGGACTGGGAATATGCAGCTGCAGTGAGGAGATATTTTGGCACTTCCTGCATTATAAAAGTTAAAATGATTAATAAGGGACTGGTCTACCGAGAGTACTGCAAACCCTTCATAGATATTAAGTCGTTTATTAGGCACATGGCAATAGATACGCTATTTGTTTTTCAAGCGTTTGCTTTTAACATTTTTAGAAGTTTAAGCAGTTTGCAGTGTTTGTTTGTTTTTCAGTTTTGCAGAATATCCAGCATTGTTCATGCTTAGATCAGCGTTTTAAAATCATCCTATGTCTTAAAAAAGAACTATGAAAACCTAGATATTTTAAATGGTCTAACTTGTTTGCATTGTAAATTGAAGCATACTCTTATTTCCTCATAGCATCTTACTGATGTAATGGTGCAGATTGTTAAATTACAAATAACAAGTGTCATCCAAGGAACGATAACAAACACTAACTTGTAAGATAGAGACAAATAGTAATTGAGGCTAAAGAAAGGTAAATCAAAAGAAAAAGACTTTAAAAGGAAAAATAAGAGAAAGGATAAAAACACAGAGAAAATTCTGGAGGGGAAAAAAATACAAGATTCTGAAACACTTTCTGACAATCCCAAGTATCCATAACTAGAGAGTTGAACCTCTACAAGTAAAAAAAAAAAATACGTAATTACACCACAGCTGAGCCCCCCTTCTGCTGAAAACTGGGGTTTATCTACTATAGAGAGTGATCCAGAAAGAATGAATGTAGAAAATACAGGAAACAGAGGAGAATCCTCTTACAGGTTGCACATTGAACAATGAGAACTCCCCAAACTTTCTCATCTAATTCTAATGCCAGCAACCAGTGTCAGACCCTTCCAAAAGTAAGTGGATTTAATTTTTCTCTAGAGAATCTAAACAGATTGATGAAAATATCTGGGTGGAAAAACATAAAAAACATGGTCAAAAGTTCACGGACCAAACAGTGGAACTAGGTTACCTAACAAGGCAGGAAACAAGTTCAGTCCCACAAGTTAGTGATTCATTTTTCATATTTACTGGCAGCCAAAATTCTCTAGGTATTTGAAGAAAGCTTCCAATTTAAAGCAGAAATTTTTAAAGAAAAAGAAACAATTTTGGATAAAATAATAATATTAGGAAAAACTCAAGAATGTATCTATATATGAGGTTATATTTTTCTTGCCCATGGACATTGCTTTTACTAAATAAAATCAGCTTATTAAAAAAAAAAGCACAGAAGTTAGACAGATAACTTACTTAAAAGCATTTAAAAGCACATACTGTTCTTGCAGAGGACCTGAGCAGTTTCCAGTACCCACATAAGACAACGCACAACCACATGTAACTCCAGTTTCAAAGGATCTGACACCTTCTTCTGGCCTCTGCAGTCACCTGTATGTACATATGGGCACATACCCACAAACACACATGCATGTATATTTTTAAAATAATGAATCTTTAAAAGGATACAAGCAAGCAGTGAAAATACCTACAAATAAGAAATGTAGTCCTGAGTTCCTTGCTCGTGCTCCGTCTCCTTCTGCTCCTGATTTGGACCTTGAGATTTCTGTCCGGTGCTCCCATGTGGGTCTCTGTCTCTGTCTCCTTTCATCGCCTGATGAAGGTTAATATTCATGAGGATGCCTATGTGTTTGTCTTTGGATTCACCTTCTTATTTAGCTTCTCTAGGAACATGAATTATAAGCTCAATGTCCTTTATTTATGGCTAGAAACCAAATATGAGTTAGTACATCCCTGCACCCACACACTAAGACAATGGGGATGTGCTATTGGGAACTCACCAAGGCCAGCTGGCCTAGGTCTGAAAAAGCATGGGATAAATCCGGACTAGCTGAACATAGCGGACAATGAGGAATACTGAGAATTCAAGAACAATCGCAGTGGGTTTTTGATCCTACTGCACGTACTGGCTTTGTGGGAGCCCAGGCAGTTTGGATGCTCACCTTACGAGACCTGGATAGAGGTGGGCAGTCCTTGGGCTTCCCACAGGTCAGGGAACCCTGATTGCTCTTCGAGCAGATGAGGGAGGGGGACTTGATCGGGGGAGGGGGAGGGAAATGGGAAGCGGTTGCGGGGACGAGGCAGAAATCCTTAATAAATAAATAAATTTAAAAAAAAGAAAGAAATGTAATAGAAAAAATGAAAATAACAATTAGACAATGATATATACACAATTAAAATAAAAGATACATGAAATTAAACATATAAAATATGGATCATCAGTACAAGAAAAGACCGAAGAATTACAAATTAATGCTTGCAGAAATAATTGAAATTCAAAATGAAAAGTAAAAAAAAGCTCAGCATAGGAGGCATAATCTAGTACTTTTTGCTTTAAATTTAGGACATCAGGACAAAATTCCCAAAGAGGAAATAAAACCAGCATGGACCTGCTAAGTAAAAGTGCTAGGTACTAAACAACCAAAATAAATAAACAATTTAAAAAATATGAGCGAATATTGTTTTCATCTTATAGTGAATAACAACTCAATTGGAAATGAAGTGTGGGAGTAGATAAAGACATATTCATGTTCACAAAATGGCATGAACTTAATCTTTCATGAATTTGTTGTTCAAAAGTTAGTAGAAGGCATGTCACCAAAATCAGGAAGAAAAAAAAAGATATAAAACCCAGACACTGATAAATTAATGGAAGGAAATGATATTGAAATTTCTAGAATGAGTATTTAGGAAGATCATGGAACAATACATGACTTGCAATGGACCAGATGAGTAGCAAGCTCTTCTAGAAGAGAGTAAGAAGAAAATCTCTTCCAGAAGGATATCTTCAAAAGCATGGAATTAGTAAGTATGTCTGCAAGTTCACAGGACTGAAGAGTTATGCACTGTGGTCACAGTTTAAGGGTGACTTGTTGATAGTTATATACAAACTAGAGCAAACACACACACACACACACAGAGGAGAGATATTCTAACTCAGATTTTAAGAAGGCCAAAGAAAATATCCATTGGAAAATATAACAACTTGGATCATCTCTGAACGAGATATTTAAGTACTAACTGCATAATAATGTATAACCTGATAATACATCATTATTTTAAGTATGCATATTTGGAAATATAAGAAGAACAAAATAAATAAAGTATGTAATACATCATGTCCAAAATTAGAAAGTTTTAGTTATATTAAGCTAGTTTTGGACAAATTTTAAACAATGTATTAATAAATGCCAAAGAAATAGGCAAAAGTTTGAGATTTCAGAATAGATATAGAAAAAGTGAAGAATAGAAACATTTTTACAAATATTTTTATAGAAATATTAGAATGGAAATTATATATGAACTACGCATTTCCTTATTCTATTTACTACTATTTGAATTTATTTT